TTTTATTGTCTTCATGCGCTTTGGTTTTAAACACTGGGTCTTTTCTTTCCCCCAACAACTATCATCTCTTCTAGGACAGAATTGACAGATTTTTGTTCAAGCCACTTAGTACAAGCAAATAGTAAGAACTTGACTTTGTTTTCTAGCCAAATTGAAGCTCTAGGGTGAGATTCTTTCCACCCCTAAGGTGTCTATTAGTTTTCTTCTGAAATTCTTTCTAGCCCTGAGGGCCCTAACTGATCTCGGGTATCCCTGAGGGACCAGGAGAAGGAGTCCCAGCAGTGGTTATTGTACTGTTAATGGAGAATCTTGTTATAAGGCCAGGGAAGGATGGGAGGAAGGCACAGGGCAAGAGGGGTGAAATGGAGGCTCTTGGGTGAGGTTCTGCTATCTCCTGAAGCCTGTGGGGCTTGGATAGGGAGAGAACTATGGAGAGGAAGAAGGCCCCCAGCTCCTCCTCTTGCTTCCTACAGCGAGAACACGATGAAAAGACAAGTGCAGTGAAGGAAGAGCTGAAATACTGGCAGAAGCTGCGGCATGACTTGGAGCGGGCGCGGCTGCTAGTTGAGCTGATTCGGAAGAGAGAAAAGCTCAAGCGGGAGCAGGTAAGGAGGAACCCCCAGTCATGGGGCGCCTTGTCGGGGTCCCTTTCTCCCAATCTTAGTGTGGCACTAGGAGACCCCTTGCTTCCTTTCCTGCCCAGCTGTATGGGCTCCAAGGTCTACCTGCTCTGTATTTGGTATAGAGCTGCTGATGGCTTCTATGTTTTGAGGTTCAACTCTTTGTGGCTTCAAGCATAAGTTTCTTATCACATGCCTGAGTGCATACCTAGAGTTTCTGATTCAGGATGTTTCAGTGGGAAGCCTACCTTAAATATTTTGAAGAGCTTCTTAGGCCATTCTAATGGGTATCACTGAAAACCTTTGGCCTGGGAGTTGCTGAGGGTTCTCACTTGGCCCTTAAACACTATGGTCTTGAATCATTTAAATTTCCCAACCTCAATTCTAGGAAATTCTATTCCCCTGAGCATGGTGAGGTAGGTGATATAGCACAGGGGTTTAGGAACATGGGCTGTGACACTAGATTGGGTTTAAATCCTGGCTCTGCTAATTACTACCTGTGTAACACTAAGCAAGGTACTTAATCTCTTAATACCTTCATTTCTTCATCTGTGATATGGGGGTAATAAAAGAGCCTAAATCATAAGGTCTTTGTGAGGTTAGATGACTTTGTATATGTAAAAAGTAGCTTAGAACAGTGCTTACCTAGTAAGGACTATAGAAGTGTCAGTAGTTGTTGTTACTGATACCCTTTTTCTTACTAAAGTATCTATTGTAGGGCTCTGCACATGGCAGAGAGCAAATACTATTAATTGAATGGATGAGAAGCCAGAATTGTTCTCTCTGGTCCAGGAATAGCAGCCGTTACTCATGTGCTTCAGAGGCCTGGGTTAAAAATGCTCCTTACTCTCTTTCTCTGAACCCTATATCACTGTTTCTCTAGCAGGTCAATAGCCTGAGTTTTTCCTTATGCTTCTGGGCAGCTCTTACCATATTTAGCATGGGTGACCATGGAGGCTATCTCAGGATCTTCTCCATGAATTCAGACTTTAAGTGCCATCCCAGGCTTGGTCCCATAGTTGTACTTTTCTTCCTGCCTCAGGTCAGAGAAATGAGAGGGAGAGGAGGCCCTGGCTCTGGTAAAGCAGTCCAGCTTGTTTTGATGAGGCCAAGAGGTGGGCTTCCCAACCATTTCACATTAGGGTACACATAGAAAGTAAGATTTGTACAGCATTCCACTTTAAATATATGAAGTCGTTTGCCACTTGAGAGATGAGCCTGAAGGCCCTGGTCACCCCAGTCTAACCCAGACACTCTAGTGCTAATGGGATCAGTAACTGCAACTCTAGGTAAAAAAATTCTGGTCCAAGGCACATTTAATTTTATCAGTGTACTTCTTGGACTAAGTCAGACCTGTTTTAAAATGCCATCTGTGCTCTTCTTTAGTCAGATGACCTTAGATTTGTGACTCCATCAACTTTCTCCAAACCTCAGGTTCCATATTTGTAAAATAGAGATAAAAATTTCTCTTTCAGAGTTATAGTGATTAACAGAGGTAATACAATAGAGAAGTAGAGGGGCATAATGGTCAAGAAGCAGACTGTCTTGTACTGAATCTTAATTCTACCCCTTATTAGCTGTATGACCTTGGGCCAGGTAGCCTCTCTCTGCCTCAGCTTCCTGTTTGTAAAATATCTAACCTTTACCTGCCTCATATACTCACATATTTTATAAAATGTTTAGGGCATTCCTATTACTTAGTATGGGTTATAAAATTATAAACTATTAGAATAGTAATAATTATTATTACCATTATTAGTTTTGGTATGGTGTTTGAAACATAGGAAACATTTACAAAATGGTGGCTATTTTACTTCATTTGCTGCTATAAATAGAATACACTGACTAGATAATTTATAATGAAAAGTTTAACAGGCATGGTGATACATACCTGTAATCCCAGCAGCTCAGGAGGCTGAGGCAGGAGGATTGCAAGTTTGAGGCCAGCCTCAGCAACTTAGTGAGGCCCTCAGCCTATGAGATTAATGAGATTCTGTCTCAAAATAAAGAGTTGGGGATATAATTCAGAGGATAAAGTACCTCTGAGTTCAATCCCTGGTACCAAATACATAAATAAATACATATGTATGGTGTGTGTGTGTGTGTGTGTGTGTGTATCACACATACATTATCTAGCTCATGATTTTGGAAGCTGGGAAATTCAAGGGTGGACTGGTGAGGGCTGTCGTGCTGCATTATCTCTTGGTGGAAAAGTAAAGGGGTGAGAGCACAGGTGGGAGAATTCACCTCCATGACAAAGCCACTCTCAGAAACTAACCCACTCCTGTGAGAACTCTCATGAGAGCAGTCTCAGTCCATTCATGAGGGTGAATCCTGTAATATATAAATCACTTCCAGTCAGGTCCCATGTCCCCAGAACTCCTGCACTGGAAATTAAGGTTCCAACGAGAACTTTTGAGAGACACCTTCATACCATACCACTGGTCGTGTCATTATTCCTAGGCTGAAGATAGGGTGATAGCTCCTCATACACTGGTCAGCTTAATCTTCTGTGAAAATTTGTTGTAGATCATTGATGAAAGTTAAGTTGTCAAAAAAAAGTTTCACTGCATTTTTGCAGGGGATGTTCTGATTGCTTCTCACCTTCCACACAGGTCAAGGTCCAGCAAGCTGCCATGGAGTTGGAGCTGATGCCATTCAATGTGCTGCTGAGGACCACACTGGACTTGCTGCAGGAAAAGGATCCTGCACACATCTTTGCCGAACCTGTCAACCTGAGTGAGGCAAGTTCCTGTCACATCCCAAGCAGCAAACCCTTCCTGGAAATAGGGTGTAACTAGGCTGGGGGCTGGGTGGATAGCACTGTGCTGAAGGGTTTATGTTACTCTGAGTGGTGTGATCTGGCAAAGCCAATAAACTTGCCTATGGTGAGGGTCAGCATTAAGTCAGGGTGGACCAGGCCTCCAAGGCTCTGAATGAACCCCTGGTATGCCCAAATCAGAAACTGGGGAGGCAAAGAGTGCCGGTGAAGGGTGTGCCTGTTTGGCTAGTAAATGGTTGTTGTAATTGTACAGGTTTTATATGTTTAGGTTCCAGATTACCTGGAATTCATATCCAAGCCAATGGATTTTTCTACTATGAGGCGGAAGCTGGAGTCCCACCTGTACCGCACCTTGGAGGAGTTTGAGGAGGACTTTAACCTTATAGTTACCAACTGCATGAAGTATAATGCTAAAGACACAATTTTCCACCGAGCAGCTGTCCGCCTGCGGGACCTGGGAGGGGCCATTCTGCGGCATGCCCGTCGGCAGGCAGAGAACATCGGCTATGACCCCGAGAGGGGCACCCATCTGCCTGAATCACCCAAATTGGAAGACTTTTACCGCTTCTCCTGGGAAGATGGTGAGAAGCCTGGATAGGTGAGGGGGGAAGGCACCAGGAAAAACACAGGGACGGAGCTCAGAGAGCCAGGGGTCAGTGTGGGCCTTGGGGCTCTAGTGTAGGCTCCAGAAGCAAAGTTGGGGGTAGGTACATGTTCTGTCCTGCTTGTGGATAGAACAGTTCCCAGGGTCAAGTTTAACCAGTGCACTGAATACCTTTTGAGTGGTAGAAAAGGGAAATCAGGTGTTGCTGTCTGTTTGAGAAGCTTCACAGGAGTCTTCCTCTCCTGGATCACCTCTGTGTGGCACTAGAGCATGGGACAGGGCAGCACAGTGCTGCTGTGTGGGGGGATCATTCAGTGCAGGTGGAGGACCAGAAAGACAGCGTTGCCGCTGAGCCTCCAACTCCACCTGCCCCTGCTCTCTGCTGCTTGATGGCAATAGCAAACAGTCACTCAGGCCAGGGCATTGCCAAGCTGCCTCGTGCCTGCTCTACAGAGCCCATGTTGGGACTGTATCCTGCAGATAGTTCCGACATTCTGACTTTATCCCTGTGGCTGTCTTTGGGCAGTGATGTTGCTGGAAGCCACTGGCCCAGGCATTCCAGGAGAGCATTTCACATCTGAGGGATTCAGCCCCTTTCCCTTGTCCTGGGCTGGGCAGGTCCTTCAGCCCCTTCTGTCCTTTCTTCTCCCTGGCAGTGGACAACATCCTCGTCCCGGAGAACCGGGCCCATTTGTCTCCAGAGGTGCAGCTGAAGGAGCTGCTGGAGAAACTGGATCTGGTGAGTGCCATGCGGTCCAGTGGGGCCCGCACCCGCCGTGTCCGCCTGCTGCGCCGGGAGATCAATGCCCTTCGGCAGAAGCTGGCACAACCACCACCACCACCACAGCTGCCATCATTGAACAAGACAATGTCCAATGGGGAGCTATCAGCAGGGCCCCCGGGGGATACAGCTGTGTTGGAGCAGGCCCTGCAAGAGGAGCCAGAAGATGATGGGGACAGAGGTGAGAGTGTGTCACAGGCAGGCATGGTGCTGGTGTGTTGGGTGGGAGGGATGGGATGGGCATAATCTAAGCTGAAATTTTTTGGAAATTTCAGGTCAGGTCTGATCCTCTGAGCAAGCAGAAGCCCATGGAGGAATCACCCTTCCATATCATGTTCAGGGGATGATATTCAAAATATAATAACCTGTAGAGACCAAAATTTATCTGTCATAGTAGATGTAGGCTTTTGTTTTGGATTGGGCTCCTGGGGGCCCTGGATGTGGATGGTTAGTTGCTTGATTTGGGGGAGGTTTAGTTAGAGGAGTTTTAGGTGTTGGAGCAGTAGCTATTGACTAACCTAAATTGAGAAATATCACAATATTTTGCACTTGATATGACCATATTGTGCATTTCAGCTAAATATCAGTCTAGATCTTCCACCATGAAGAGAGAGTCTTCAAGCAGGTTAGGAGGGTATGAGGAGATAGCAGAGCAGGAATGACCCTACATATGTCTTGGGCTCTTGAGTCAGGTCTGCAGGCCCCTCCCAGGCAGAGGCATCTGGCTATAAAAGGTAGCTGGGGAAGTGATTCTCAGAAACTCCGGAGCTTTATAAGCTAAGTTGCTCCCAATCCTTCCCCTTTGCTGGGGATAGAATTGTCTCTCTCACACCTGCCCTGGGATCTGAGCCTAGGGCTTGGGAGGGCCTTTTACCCACACTGTCCAAAAGACTGGGACTTATCTCCAATAAATAGGGGCCCAAATTGGAGGGAGTGGTCCATTTTATTTTAAGTTGGCAGAGAATGGGAAGATGGCTGAAAGGTCACATTTGGCATTAGAGGGTTCAATGTTCAATGTGACTCTTACCAACTCCCTGTGTGGCGTGTGCGTGCCATTGAATCCCATTCTGGACTCTGGCAGGGCAGTGTCATGCCCCATAGACCAGATGCCACAGCATCTACTAGGGTTTAAAAGACAAAAACAAATTCCCAGCCTCACTTTCTAGAGGTTCAGATAGGGAAGTCTGGGCTGTGACTTGAAAGTCTCAATTTTTAAAAGATGCAATGTGGTAAGTGAGTAGACATGTTTGGGAAGCACTGATTTGATTTACTTGCTCTCATTTTCCACATCCATAAACTCATTCTTGCCGCCTGCTCTACTTGATCTAACTTGGGTGATATGAAAGGAAATCAGTGACAGACAGAAAACACTTGAATTTTAGACCTCTGATCTGCCAAGCTGGGACTTAACCTAAGTATTGACTATGCAGGCAGCTTTCTCAGGTGTAGAGTAACAGTTTGTAACCCTCACTTCTTAGACTCACATGTTAAGCTTTAAAAAAAAAATACCCCATTTTTTAGAGATTTGGGTTTAGTTGCTCTGGGGTGGGACCTGAGCATTGGAATTTTTAAGAAACTTTCTACATTTGCCAGCCCCATACCTTTGGTTCCTGGTTTTCAGTGTCAGTATCTGGCTTGTAGGGTCAGACTCATTCTAAAATGTTCAAGCAGGTTCCCTTTTTCTCTAACAGATGACTCCAAACTGCCTCCCCCACCAACCCTGGAGCCTACTGGGCCTGCACCTTCCTTGTCTGAGCAAGAATCTCCCCCAGATCCCCCTACTCTGAAACCCATCAATGATAGTAAACCTCCAAGCCGATTCCCAAAGCCCAAAAAGGTGGAAGAAGATGAGCTCTTGGAAAAATCATCTCTACAGCTAGGGAGTGAGCCCTTGCATCACTTGCTCAGTGACAATGGCATCAACAGACTGTCTGTCATGGCTCCTGACACCCCTACTGGTGCCTCTCTAAGTGGCGTGGGTCGCCGCACATCAGTCCTCTTCAAGAAGGCCAAGAATGGGGCTAAGTTACAGAGGAGCCCAGACCGGGCTCCAGAGAATGGCGAGGACCATGGTATGGTGGGCTCTCCTGACTCTCCAGCCAGCATTGAAGAGGAGCACCATTCCCGGAAGCGGCCAAGGAGCAGGAGCTGTAGTGAAAGCGAAGGGGAGAGGTCCCCGCAGCAGGAGGAAGAGACAGGTGACCCTGCCTGAGACTTCTCTCGCTGCTTTTCTGCTTTGCCTTGCCAGCCAGCACCTTCCCTAGTTGGCTATCTCCCTAAGGCCTCTGCATGCTATTAGTAGCATGGAGGGCTCTATAGCTCACAGTGGGACCAACATGAGTAGCGACCCAGGGAAACAGGCTTTGAGTGGCATTTCAGAAGGCCAAGTTATGTCTGAGCTTTTCTTGGCCCTGAGGGGATGCAGGCTTGTATATGCTAATGTAGTTTGTATCTTCATTTTAGTTTGTTCATCAGATATTTATATCAGGCACTATCTTAGGGACTGGGGGAAAAAATCAGTGAACAAAACAGATAAAAATCTCCTCTTTTATAAGGGAAATCAACCAAAAGAAAATGAGGTATCCTGTATTAGAAATTTTGAAGAAAAATCCAGCAGGGAAGGGGAATAGGGAATGCGAGTGGTATTTTAAAGGATGGCCAGAGAGATCTTCTGAGGAAGTGACATTTGAGTAAAGATTTGAAGGAGTTGAGGCAAGAGCTGTTTGTGTATCCAGAGGAGAAATATTCCCAAAAGAGAGACTAGCAGCTGCACTGGCCCTGGAGGTGGGAACATGCTTGCATGTCTGAGGAACAGCAAGGGAACCAGTGTGGCTGCAGCAGAGGTTGGTGGAGGAGATGAGGCCCAGAGGTAGGCTGTGAGGTTATATCACTGAGAAGTTCTTATTACGTGTCCAGAATGAACTGGTCCCTGTGGGGATAATAAGCTGATTCACTCAGTCCCAGCTCTGGAAGAATTTACAGTTCAGTAGGGAAACAAAGTAGTCTCCCAAGGTTCAGAGAAATCACAGAACCCAACAGTATGTGGTTAAGTGTAGGGTGACAGGTGGCACTGCCAGAGCTGTTGTAATTGGAGGTGAAAGAGTTAGGAAGGCTTCCCAGTCTGGTGGTGTCTGAGCTGGCCCTAAGGGGTGAGGGTAGGATGGAAACGAATACATGGGGGTGAAGGGCTTAGGCCCAGGTGTGTGGAAATAAGGAGAAAGACAGTCTCTAAGGGACAGTTAGGGGGAGCCTACTTGAGTAAGGTGGGCCTAGACGTGGAGGGTCAGGAATGCTGGGCAAAGTAGTTTAGTCTTGGATAGTGAAGGCTAGCTTGCTGGCAGGGAGGGGCTGCTCTTGTCTTTTGTTCCTGTGTCGCTCTCATGTTCTTTTATGTGATAGCTTTGAAATGTGTAACAAGCACTTGCTTTTCTCCCTTCCAACCTAATGTTTTGTTTCCAACATTACTTTTTCTTCCTATCTGTCCTAAGTTTCCCTGTGTTGGGGAAGAACGTTGGTATGTAGGGGCAAGAGCAGAGTCAGGCGTACCTGAGTTCACATTCCAGCTTCTTACAGATGTGTAACCTAGGAAAACTAACCTCTCTGAACTGTTTCCTTCTTTCTGATATGGAGCTAGGATACTTATCTTGGAAGACTCTCAGAATTGGAAATAGGCTGTGTAAAGCACTTAATATACTCAGTAGTTGAGAGCAGTTATTGTCATCTTTTTGCTCTTTGTGGCTCCGCCAAATGGCACTGAGAACATTGTACACTAAAAATGAAATCTCTTGCTCTTGGGAACTAGGTCTGGACATCGGCACCATCCAATCTGATGAGGCCCCTGCCTGGAGATACTGAGAAAATACATTTCAGTCCCATGATTCCAGGTGGCCTGACACCCAGGAATACTTATGTACAACCTTAGTTGAATTTCATAACAACAGGTATTGATCCTTTACAAGTGAGGCACCTGAGGCACAGCTGGATTCGGTGATTTAAATTGAGGTCCTAATGTTAGAGGCAAGATCAGGTCAGGGTACAGACATCTTGGCTCAGACACCTGCTCTTACAGATGTGACTTGCCTCACAGTTTTCTGGCCAAGGTGTCTATTACACCTTCCAAATCAGGTGCCTGGCTCACCTCCTTGCCTATCTGGATCCAGCTGTCAGTTGCAGGACTCCGGAATGTGGTTAGAAATTGGATAGACAGAGTGGAAGCCTTCACAGCAAGATCATGCCCCTGAGATGACCAGTCAATCCTCATCTGCTTCTGAAGGCTCCTTGCAATAAACAGACCCCTATATCTTGATGAGTAGCATCTTCTACAAGTAAGAAGGCATTATCTTCATGAAAGGAAAGGCCAAGGCTTAACAAGGAAAAGGGACCCAATATTTCAGAGCCCAGTCTAAAACCCCGAGTTCTGATTCCCTGTCTTGGCAATATCTGGGATGCTGTAGATCTCCTGGAAAGTCTCCCATTTTTAATCCTGATATCTCTGCTAGATATCTCAGGGGCCGTTGGCAGGAGCTCTTATCCTGCCTCAGCCCCTCCTGACATCATGTCCACAGAATGAAGCAAGCTGTTGCCAGCTGTGTGATGTGCAGGGTGTGAATGTTTATCTAAAGAGGCAAGGCGGGTGGGCTCCTCAAGAAACAGAGGAGACTCCCTGGTAATTGAGGTTTGAAACTAGAAGCAGATCCAGGGTGAGCCTGCCAGGGTGGGAAAGTCTTAGTATTTTCCTTTGTATCCGAATTGTCATTCGGATTGTCATTCAGATACATAGCAGAAGTCAACTGTGTGCTGTTTTCCTTAAAGGGGAAGGAAAATGCAGTGTCAGCTTATTGCCCAAGCCAAGAGTGTTCTCCCTAAACCTTTATTTCTGTGAGGTTCTCTCTACCACCCGAGATCCATTTCCACAGTGAAGGGCAGCCATCCTCTCCACCCTCCTCACTGACCCCTACCAAGGTGGCTACCTCATGCTGTGGCATGTGTCAGGGGCTGGGAGTTTCTGTGCTCACAGGCTCACTCTGTGTGTCCTTGGCAGGCGTGACCAATGGCTTTGGAAAACACACTGAAAGCGGGTCTGACTCGGAATGTAGTTTGGGTCTCAGTGGTGGACTGGCATTTGAAGCTTGCAGGTAAGGACATCTGTCCCCAAAACTTTGTCAGCAGCTCCACCACCTCTCCCTTTATTCTCCATTCAGTAGTGGTTTGAACTTCTTATCTTGATTCTAACCCCTACTACTTTCTGAGGCTTCTAGTCTTTAACTTGGTGGGGCGGAGCGGGGGTGCTCCTAAGAAATAGGGTGATCCTTGACTCTACCATGTGCTCTAAGAGAAGAGTGTGGTTCTGATGCTTTATGCGGTCTGTGGGACTGAAGTTGGACTCTAGAGGATGGGGACAGCAGAATCTCCTATTGCCCAATGAAGCTAATGTTTAAGCCAGACCCCTGCGCACTCGCACGTGTGTGCACACACACTCAGGCAACCCAACTTGTTACAGACTTAGTTTTGCCCCAGGCCTCTTGGGGTTTCATAGCAACTACCTCTTTAGAGGTGCTGTATGGAATAAGGAATGAGCAAATAGGAAATTTGAAATTGCTTTTTATTCAAATAAAAGCCCCAGCTCATCTGTCATCCTTGAGCTGGGAAGGGATGGGTCTCTTTTGTCATTCTTTAACCTGAAGGGAGGATTTTTGGGACCAGAACCTTAAAAGTTTCTTCAGAGGTCTGAGTTTATTGAACCTCTGCTCTGTGTTCTGTGTTCTGCAAAACCCAGAAACAGTGAAACTCTTAGAAACTGAGAGAACCTCGGTGCCACTAAAGAAAATGACTAGTTCTGGGGCTGGGGTTGTGGCTCAGTGGTAGAGCTTACCTAGCACATGTAAGGCACTGGGTTGTTTATAAAAATAAATACAATAAAGGTATTGTGTCCATTTAAAAAAGAAAGAAAGAAAGAAAATGACTAGTCCTAAAAGCTGATGGCTTGGTCTTACCACAGCTGCTGAGTTTCAGAGTTGGGGAGGAAAGGTCCCAGGGCAGTACCAGTAGACTACATGTCTTTGTTTTCAGTGCTTCCAAGGCAGGGTTTGTGTATGGTTTGGTAGGTACCTTCTCTACCCTGGCTGCTGGGCTCCAGGGAGGACCATCCGGACCTCTACTTACCCTTTGGTGCTAGACTGGTCTCCCACTTTGGTTCCTTTGAGATTTTTCTTCCCACAGTGCCTCAAAACTGCCCTAGTTGTCTCCCTCTTTGTTGCAGTCTCCAGATGGATAAGGGAAGTAGATAAAATACCAGGAGAAATACCAGAAACAGAGAGTTCAGAATCTTAGAAGGTGCTTCTAATCTGGGCCCAGGTTGGAGTTCCTGGCTTCCTTCAAAGTTAAGGTGCCTGGAAACCTAGTTCATTGAGGTTGGAATAGGAGCAAGGTCATCCAACCTTCCCTTCTAGCCCTTGACTAAAGGTGGAAGGTGTGCTGGTCTCCTTTTGTGAAGGCATTCTTCCCAGCTATGAGTCATGAGAAGCAAGCCAGGCTCAGCTCAGCCTGCTGGTCTAGGAGGAACTCCAGACCAATGTCACCAATTGCTTTGGGGCACCGACTTGATATAGGAACAGTGCTCTTGGAAGGCATTTCCTCTTTAACTCAGTGATTATCAGTGGAATTTCCGGGCTTAAAATAGGAGCTTGAGGGGCTCCAACTGCAGTTCTTTTTTCTTTTCCCTCCATTATGGTAGTAAGTACAGAAAAGAAGATCTTATTAGACTGGAATCACATCATCCCAGAACTATATGTAACCTTGAAAGAATGGGTCACTAGCCCATCGTAGACTCCCTCTTCCCCACCCACCCCTGGGATGATTTTCTCTGGTGGTTTTCTTAGCAGGTTGGGGCTGTGTCCTCTTTGTATAGATCACTCATTCACCTATTGATAATTGAACACCTACTGTATGCCAGACCCTGTTCTAGACACGGATGAGGTATCTGTTCTCATGGACTTATCTTCCAGAAGGTCCCTTAACAGAGGGCTGCATTGCAGGCCATTGCAGTTTCTAGGAATCAGAAACCCAAGGCCTCATGTTAGTATTGCGTCCTATTATATTGAGCTCATCCTTCTCAGAGCTCATCATTCCATAGTGTAACATTAGTAGTTTGGAATACTTTTTTAAATAAGACATTGAAATTTACAGCCCTTCACATAACTACAGCGGCTGTTTATTCATTTCATGGTATGTGCTATAATGAGTGGTTTGTGTGTATTAAACCATTAAATCCCCATAACATCACACAGGGAACACAAACCTCAGAGAAGTTAAATAACTCACTTGAGGTTGCACAACTAATGAGGAGAAGAGCTGGGTTTTGAACAGAGAGAACCTGGCTCCAAGTTTAATATTTTAACCCCTTTGCTGTGCTCTCTCCTGTCATATTTGAAGATGCCTTTCCAGACTCAGGATATGAACTTTGAGGGGTTTTCCTAATAAAATTATTAGCACTTAACATTTGTATAAGACCTTAAAGTCTCTAAGCCCATGGATAGATTTTTGTAGGGTGAGTAAGAACTGAATCCTTAATGTGAACTGGGTTCCCCCCACCAAAAAAAAAAAAAAAAAGATACTAATTTGACTAGGAAGAAAAACCTTCCAGTGTAACTATTGTTTACTAAAGGATTTTAGCCCTCATGGGTTTTGGCTAAGCAAAACCTTGTTACTATGGGAGGCTGAGGCAGGTGGATTGCAAGTTGGAGACCAGCCTTAGCAGTTTAGCGAGCCCGTCTCAAAATAAAGTTAAAAGGGCTGGAGATGTAGGTCTGTGGCAAAGTGCCCCTGGTTCAATCCCTATTACCAAAGGAGGATTGTATAAAAAGTATAAGATCATGAGAGTTCTGACTCAGTAAAACAGCTCTCTGCTCTCTAACCATTTCTACCCCTGGCTGCTGCTCTTCCCACCAGGATTTCCTAAATACATATACTTTTCTGCAGATTGTTGACCTGTCTTTTAAGTATTGTTTTATTGGAAAAAATATATAGCAGTAATATTTTTTAAAGTTTGGGTGAAAAAGAGCCCTTGCCACATCATTCTTGCTAGAGGCTCTCAGCTTGGTTGTGCATTAGAATTGCATGGGGAGCTATTTAAAATACTGACTCCTGGGTGGCCTCCGTTATACTATTGTTCTGGTATTGCTATTCTTAGTTTTGCTTATTACCTTCTAGTCTTTGTCTAATATATATATTTTACCTCTTTGCACAAGCCATGTTTGAAAAAAAAAAGTCAATCTACTTTTTAGTTTAAAAAAAAATTCTCTCTATCCAAGAAAAACTTCACACATAAACCATTTGGAAGTAAGAAGTAGATTTTTTTTTTCCATTTAAAAATGTCTTTTCTAATTCTAGAAGTAAGATGTGTCCATTATAGAAAATTTGGAAAAGAGGCAAATTTTTGTACTTCTAAAATAAACTGATTTCTAAAGAAGCAGCATGTGAACCACACAGCAAGGGATTCTGGGCAGATATGAAGTGGCCCTCCCTCATGGCAAAGCTGCTGAGACTGTGGAAGGATTGACAAGAGACTAGGGTGACCTGTCCTCTGGATGAAGTCCAAAGTCCCTGGACAGGGCTCTCTCTGTTCGTGTTCAATCCTTCTACATAGAAGCAGTGGTTCCCGAAAACCTGGTGGGAACTTTGAGGTCAGAAGAGTGCTGTGGTCCAGTGTGGGCTTTAGTGAAGCTGTCTGTGAATTTCCTCCCTGTGGGCTTCTGCAGCTCCACTGTGTCAGAGATAGGAGAGCAGAAGTGGGTGTGTTAGTCATCTAAACTGCTCGTTTCACCCCTCTCCTTACTCTGTATGCAGTGGTCTAACGCCCCCCAAACGCAGTCGTGGGAAGCCAGCCCTGTCTCGAGTGCCCTTCCTGGAAGGTGTGAACGGAGACACCGACTACAGTGGTTCAGGTGAGGAGTGGTGTCGAGGCAGTGCTGGTGGGTGGGGGGGCAGGTCTTCTGAGCAGCCAGCTCTTCAGGCAGCTTCACCACTGGGGCACAGAATCAGGCAGCCAGTCCTGGAGCTCCCCAAACTCTCAGACACTGGCCAAGGAAATGTCCCTCACTTGTAGGCCATTCGTGCTTTTAAATATTTTTTTCATCTTAAATTTATATATATAACGCATGCCATGCCATGGTACCAAAGAAGAGAGAGAAGGTGCCAAAGGGTATATAATGACAGCCAGTGCTCCCCTCCCTGGAACATCTGTTAGCATTTTCTTTTGTGTCTTTCCAGAGGTAATCCATGTATGTACAAGCCAGAACTTGTGTGTCTATTTGAATGAACAAAGAAGCTAGTGTATACATATTCCTCTAAACCATTTCTCTTTTTCATCTAATAGTATAGCTTGGAGATCTCTCTGTGATTTGTATTGGTTGCCTTGTTCCCAATACATGGAGCGCCTTCATTTGCTTAGCCATCTAAAGGTAGAAGTGTAGATTGTTTTCACTTATTTGTTATAATCAGTATTGCATCGAGTATCCTTATGTGTGTATGGACCATTTTATATCCAGGGCGATATATCTATAGAAGTAAATTGTTGGATTGAAGGAAATATGCATTTGTAATTTGGATGGATATTGCCTGTCTATGCTCATTAATCAGTGATAGAGTGTGTCACTGAATCTCACAAAACTCTGTTGTTTTATGGGTCTTACTCTTTGGATCAGTGGACTAAAGGGCAGGGCCTGGCCAAGAGGAGAAACTTGGGCTGGGGCTCAGATGCAGCAGGTAGAGCAGGCTGTTCTCTGAGCTCACCCTTGTCCATCCCCATGCAGTCTCTGCAGCACTTCTCTGCCCCTTTCCTTTTCCCTTAGCATCAGTTTCTGGTATGTGTGTTGATGAATGCATGCCCGCGTGTTTCATTACTTTCTGTGACTGTCAACACCCAGAAGGCAGGGTCATGTCTAGATGAATTTGTGTAGCATCGAATATCAAAACCAAGAGTGAACTGGCACACTTTGTGCTTCTGGTGGTGACATTTTATTCTTATTTTTAAAACCCACATACTTAAAATGATGCCAAAGGAAATTGACCTCTCATACTTCTATCATCTTAACACTATTATCTTCATTTCTCTGTGTTGCCTTCTGTTTATTTTAGGCATGTTTTTAACAAAGTGCTAATCCAAAACATATACACTTTTGTCTTCTGTTATTTTTTTACTATTATCTCATACTTCTTTCATGTTGACACATAATCTTTATATATCTCTTATTGTAAAATGTATTGAATATAATCAATGCATTATAATGAACTGGTCTATTGTTAGACATCTCCAACTTTTAACATACATTATACATTAACATTATATAATGTAGTGAACATTTTTGTTCAGAATCCTTTTATTCATCTTTAAAGTTATTTTTCTTAGAATAAGTAGCCAAGGAGCAGATGGTTCATATACTTTTTTAATGGCTCCTGAGACATAACCCCAAATTACATTCTAAAAGAATTGCAGTTGTATCAGCAGTGTATCACTGCACCAGTTCCCGCTCACACTGCCTCTTCACCTAGTGTCTTTTATCTTTTCATTGTTATTACTGTTGATTCAGTAGAGTCAAAACAGTACCTCATTATTTGGGTACATTTTTTTTTTTAAACCATAAATGAGAGTGTAGTATTTCCTGAGAAATATAATTAGCCACGTTGAGCTTTGGACCTTTTTCCTTTGTTGAGTGCAATCGCCTCCTTGTTCCCAGTTTGTAAATATGGGGAGAGAAAGAGCTTTCTCTGGTGTTTGGAAGCATTTGTGAAGCACCTGAGCATGTGTGCTAGGTGGGGCCTGAGTGTAGAATGAAGTAAGCTGAGGAGATAGGGTGCCTGCCTAGGGCCAGACACCCAGAGAAAAGTCTGATAAAAACAGATGTGAAATACCTGCAGACCTACTTGGCTCTGCTGAGTGCTGTACAGCCAGGTGACCTGGATGACCCAGTGTGGCCTGGTCAGAAAAGAACTCACTTTGCGAGTGGTTTTACTGCAATGTCCTTCCCAGATACTTTTTCCCTCAAAGCTTCCATCATGAGGACTCCCTACTTAGCGGGGCCAGAGAGTGATATGTGGCTCTTTCTGCCCAAGCTGGGGTATTGCCCTTCTCCCTGAGACCCTGGGGATGAAGCAGGTTTCCCTGGGAAAACCATCCTAGGGTTCAAGTTCAGAGGTCGGTAAACTATAGTCTTCTGCCTGTTTTTATATGGCTTGTGAGCTATGAATGGTTTTTACATTTTTAAACTATTAAGAAGAAAATCAAAAGAAGAATATTTTATAATGTGAAAATTATTTGAAATTCAAATCTCAGTGTCCAGAACAAAAATTGGTACACAGCCACACTTATTCACTCACAGATCATCTGTGGTAGCTTTCATTGGACAACTGAGAGTTGAATACTTGGGACAGAGACCATGTAGCCCTTAAGTACCTAAGATATTTACTGTTTGGCAGTTTGTAGAACTAGTTTGCCGACCCCTGATCCACTAAGAATTTCTCCTAAGGAAAGGGCAGGGTAAAGGAAGGGTGGAGGGGATGTTGCTGACTCATTTCTGGGCTGCCCCAGACAAGTGGAGGCCACAGGCAGGGCTTTGGGGCACCATTCCAAGTCCCCTTCGGGCGCTGTCTCCTCCCCTCCCCCACCCCCAGGCAGAAGCCTCCTGATGCCCTTTGAAGACCGCGGAGACCTGGAGCCCCTGGAGCTGGTGTGGGCCAAGTGCCGAGGCTACCCCTCCTACCCTGCCTTGGTGAGTCTGCCCCAGACACCACCCACCTACCTCCACCTGTTGCCTTGCCTTGGGGGCTTATCTGAGTGGGTCAAGCCAGCAGAGTGTGGTGGGAGTCAGGGTGCCTTTAACTGTAGAGGGGAGCGGAGTTTTACCCCTGCCTGGATGGGGCAGGCCAGTAAGACTTCCAGCTGGGAGCATATGAAATAGGTTAAGCATAGGCAGACAGAAATTAGGGTTCTTAGAGTTTTGATAGCATTTATTTATTTACTTATGCATATGTGTTGGAATTTGAGTCCAGGGATCAAAATGTGTGATGCCAAAGCCCTTGTTCTGAGCCATTGAGTTCAAAATCATCCACAGTCCTGTATTCAGGGATAAATTGGTGTATACCTCACTCAGCCTTTTTTTAAATGCATAAATATGCATATATACGAAAGCATACTGTTTTTAACCTCCCTTTCACTTAAAAAGCATACTATGAATATGCAGCTCTTATGCCATTAAACATTCTTCATCAGCATCACTTTTAATGACTGCATCATCTTCAGTTGTTTTCATGTACCATATTTTAATCAGTCCCTAGTTGGACATTTAGATTGTTTGAATTTTTCACCATGATAAACAGTTGGCAATAGAGATCACTGTATCTTTACTTTTCTGTGTATCCTTGTTATTTCTTTACAATGAATTCTGAGGAATGCCTTCCTGGGGCAAAGTCTGTACAATTCTTGTACAAGTTCCCAAGTTGCCTGAATATGAGTTCCAGTTTATATTTCCACCAACAGTAGCTAAAATTTCCATTTCTTCCATAGTACAGTAGCTAAGAATTCCATTTTTACCGCCTTGAGTCTTATTTCTTAGAGCTCTTTCTCAGTTGGGGAGGAAAAGTCCACCTGGTTCTGGAAGATACCACTGATCCTAAACCTTTGGGCCGTGTCAGAATCATTTGGGGGTGGGGAGGATTTTAAAACAGCACATACACTGAGTCAACTCCACCTTACAACCGCCAAATTAGACTCTCTTAAACCCAGACTGAGGCATGGATAATTTTTTCAAAAACTTCCTGAGTGCTCTGTAGCCAGGATGGGAGCCACCTGCTAGTCTCTCATATGCACACATCTCTGGGCTTTTGCTTCCCCAAGCCCTTTACTATCTGTGCTTCTTTGGAGCCTAACAACAGCATCTTAAGATAAAGAGGGCAGGAACACAATTCTGTTTGGACAGATAAGGAGACTGTATCTCAAAGAGGTTATACAGTTTGCTGCAGCCATAATGGGAACCCGCCTTACCTACCTCATTCTCTCCTAGTAGTGGCAGCTGGGAAGATCCACCCTGTGTCCCGCAGCTGTACACATTGGACCAGGGGCTGCCGATTTCACAAGGCTAGGGCCCTGCCAGCTGTGAGACTGTAGGACCCCCCCGCCCCACTCCCAGCTTAAGTCATTAAGGAAATGATTTATTTAGGCTGTGCAGGTTTGGTGGTTTTTTGTTTTAAGCCTCACATGCAAAAGACCTAGTCCCAAACTAGTCGTTTAAAAAGAAATTCAGCCACCACCTGAACACAACCTGTGTTTTTATTTTGGTGCATGCTTTCCCAGTCTTTCTCCTGTGCACATTTCAGTACATATTTGCATATTATATTGTACTTTAATCTTATTTTAATTCCTTGTCTTTTATACAAATGTGTTTTGTTTTTTTTTTAGTGTGCTAAAATGTAGAAGTTTTGGGAAAACAGAAAAAAAGCAACATAAACCCCACCATTCTAACATGTTGCTCTTAAATATTTTATATACTTTTATTTGTTGTTTACTTATTGTAGTTGTGATAATAGAGAAGGTACACTTTATTGTATAATGTTAAATTTTATCACAAGCTTTGTTTCCATCTTGTTTTACATCTGTATAGCATTCATTGAGTGAATGGACCATTATTTATTATTTTGGGACATAAAAGCTATTCTCAGATGGCAGGCTTACCTACTTTGCTTTTGCCCTCAAAAAGTTTTTCACAATCTATTCTCAGGAACCAGCATGCCATAGTAGCCCCACTGCCTCCTTTGGTAATTGAGGAAGCTTAGAAGGGCTTGTATAGTTGTTCTTATTAGGACCCTTAGCTTCAGTTCCAGAAGGGACTCATGCGGGGAGGTAGACTTTTGACCAAATTACACAGCTGGCGGGTGGGGTAGAGGTGGTTCTTCCTTGGAGTAAACTCTTAAACAGAGCACCTACTTTCAGCTGCTTATCTTGAAAGGGATGTGGGGAAGTTGGCAGACACCCAAAGGTAAATAATGAGAGCAATTTATTATGAAGAAGAGGCCCCTGGGACATGGTATAGGAATTAAGATTACTCTGTCTCTAGAGAAGACTGCTTCCTCAATAAGTTTCCAAGTCTCTCTGGCCTTTGTGCGCAGAGACCATCAGCTCACTCCTCTGGAAATGGGCTGTGCAGGAGGCTGCTGGCAGCAGAGGCCCAGGCCTTGTCCAGGTATCTGGTTGTCGTCCCAGCCATGGCTTCAGCCAACTACATCTACTTGCTTGGTCTTTTTGTCTGTCAGGTAACACTTTTCAGACCTCCCAGCATCAGCAAGAGATTGAAATGAGATGATGTGTAAATAATTAGAAGCTTTGGAAACTTTGAGAGTGCTCCATAGGCCTAGAAAATTATTGTTTTATTGACGCTGCCGGGCATTTTGCTGTGCACCTGCTCTGAGTTAGGCCGGGGGTGCTAGGTGCTGGAAACAAACCCCGAACGAGGCAGGCCCAGCCCCTGCACCTCTGGTGCTTCTGCCTCAAGGATTAGTTCCTCCAGTGGTCCTTGTTTCCAACAATCTCATTCTCCCTTCTCCACTGACCCTCCAAGCTCAGTCTTCTACCTGTACACTGAACCTCTTCTGATTTTATCGTGGAAGTGTGATGTGTATCTGACCCTTACCTCAGGATGGGTTATAGTTGGGCAAGAAGGTATTGGATGGGCTAGGGATAGAGCTCAGTTGGTGGAGTGCTTGCCTTGCATGCATAACGCCCTGGGTTCAATCCCCAGCACCGCAAAAAAAAAAAAAAAAGATGTTGGGTGACCAGGTTCTTTTCCATAGAACTGAAAGGATGTCCTACTTGCTAATACTGAGCCTTTTTGGTAGCCATGGTGCTAGGCAATTTCCTTAAGCATTCGAGGTGAATTACAAAGGTTCTAAAGGGAAATTGAGGGGGGAAATGACCTCTACTCTTACCTTGTAAAGGACATTGGGAAGAAGGGGTTTACCTACCTGGTCAGGACATCAAAGATACCCCATTCAGTACCATCCCTGCATGAACTTCCCATTTCTTGTTTCAACTCCAAGGCCTGATAGTCCATAAAACAAGTTCTGTCATCAGGATTGATTGGGCAGAGCTGGAGGATTAGACAGAGTCATGGTTTCTGTTTTGAAGTGTTGCAGGTCATGGATGACACCGGCCTCTCCATTCCTCAGTTGTGGGCAGAGCTGAGCCCTTGCATGGCTTAGGTATAGGGTGTTTTGGCAACTGGTCCTGCACCAGGGGTTCCTGTTCAACCTATCCTTCCCCACTGAGTGCCCATTTTCTTTTCTGCCTCCAGATCATCGATCCCAAGATGCCCCGGGAGGGTCTCCTGCACAATGGTGTCCCCATCCCTGTCCCCCCGCTGGACGTGCTGAAGCTGGGAGAGCAGAAACAGGCAGAGGCTGGAGAGAAGCTCTTCCTTGTCCTCTTCTTTGACAACAAGCGCACCTGGTGAGTGATGGCACCACTTGGGGCCATCAGGTGAAGGGAGAGGCGTTACCTACCAGCAGCTGTCCTGTATTGCTGTGTTAATGATAACTGGCTACTAGTATTAGTAGTAACTGAGGGGGTCACAGATGGGACTCTCTGGGAAGCACTCCGAGGTGAAGCTTTGCATTAGGAGGCAGGCTATAGAGAGAGCTGTGGGGTGAGGGGCACAGCACTGGGCAGAGGAAGAAGTCAAAGTGCAAAAACCTTGAAATGGAGGCCTCAGCTCATCCTCTGAGGAGCTTGGGAGGGCTGTTGGGAATTGGCACTGTGTCTTTGTACCTTCATGCCAATTTGTCCCTGAATGCCAGCTGTCCCTGGAGAGGGCATGACCTTGGGCCAGGCAGCTCCCTTGGTGGATGGTTCCTGGAGAGAGAGACTCAGCTGAGAGCCTGTCGGCTGCCAGCACTCCCTGCAGCTGTGGGAACACGCATCTCCATCCTGGAGAACATCTGGGTGATGTGAACCCTCCACAAGGGAATCACTTGCCATGGTTTATGAACACCTTAAGGTTCTTCTTAACACTAGCAGGAGAGTGTTGTCACCTCTGCTTTTGTAAAACAAGGAGGTGGAACTGGTTGGTAAAAATAATGATAGCAATAGCTGCTGTTTATTGAGTGCTTACTCCATGTTCTTATGCTAATTGCTTTACAAACATGATCTGGTTTATTCTCATTTAAATCCCAGTCCCCTCACAATTCATTTTTTTATATGAGGAGGCTGAGACTCAGACAATACCCCTGCTGGGCATGTTGTCTCACACCTGTAATACCAGTGACTCCGGGGGCTGAGGCAGGAAGATTGCACGTTCAAAGCCAGTTTCGGCAACTTAGTGATGCCCTAAGCAACTTGGCGAGACCCTGTCTCTAAGATATAAAAAAGGCTGGGAATGCTGAGCGCGGTGGCACACACCTGTAATCCCATGGCTTAGGAGGCTGAGGCAGGAGAATCGTAAGTTCAAAACCAGCCTTAGCAAAAGCTAAGCACTAAGCAAACTCAGTGAGATCTATCTCTAAATAAAATACAAAATAGTTCTGGGGGTGTGGCTCAGTGGTTGAGTGCCTCTGAGTTCAAACCTTGGTACCTGCCCCCCCCACACACACAAAAAAAGAACTGGGGATGTGGCTCAGTGGTTAAGTGCCCTGGGTTCAATCCCTAGTACCAAAAAATAAAAGACACCTTGACCAGAACTGACATAGAAACCAAGATCTGAAGGCTGTGCTCTCAGCCACACATTAGATCCAACTAGGGAAGTGGGGATGGGGGTAGGGGGATAACACACACACACACACACACACACACACATAAACACAATGTAGACACCAAGGAGGTCCATAAATTCCTGGCATTGCCTCTACTTCCTAACCACAGCTCCATTTCCTAGCCATAACTCCCTAATTCCCCAAAGCATGTGAGGATCAAAGTCCTCCAGGGTCACTCAGCCTGCCCTCTGGGACAGCAGATGGGCCTCTAATGGCTCTAGGGCCCTGACAACCCTCAGAGCAGAGTGAGGGCCCAGGGAAGGACCTGGCTGCCAAACAGATCCTATGCCCTCCTCCCCACCCCTGCATACTTGCTGCCCTGTCCCACCTGGTTCTTGGTGGCTCTTGCATGAATTTGTACCAATCTAACCTACTCTGCCCTGTAACCTCTCTCCAGCCTTGCCTGTTCTGGGCAAGTGGGCCCAGAGGAGCCCCTGGACCCATTACAGTCCAGCTTTTTAACTGTGCTTGTATTTCAGGCAGTGGCTTCCAAGGGACAAAGTTCTTCCCTTGGGTGTAGAAGATACTGTGGACAAGCTCAAGATGCTGGAAGGCCGCAAGACCAGCATCCGCAAGTCAGTGCAGGTGGCCTATGACCGTGCAATGATCCACCTGAGCCGAGTCCGGGGACCCCACTCCTTCGTCACCTCCAGCTACCTGTAAGGATGAGGCTGGGTTTGCTTCTGGCTGCCCTGCCTGCCTCCGTCCCATGGGGCACAGAGAAGCCTCTTCTGCCCAGCCAGATGTATGGCCGGCAGTTCCCACTCATGGCAGGCCAGGGATTGGACTGTGTCCTCACTTAGGGCAAGGCCTCAGTTTTGACCAATAACATGGTTTCCCTGGAGGGCCTGCTGTGTGCCAAAAACTCCCACCTGAGGTCCATCAGGGCCATTCCACTGAAGAACCACTTAGAAGTAGAAACAGCTGTGGGGCTTGGGCCCAACAAGGAGATGGACCTGGCCCAGAAGGCGAGAGGTGCTAGGCTCCTTCTCAAGGGGCTGCCTGGCTCCTCCAGCCCCTTCCCAGCTAACTACACCTCAGGGCAGGCGAGGTTCTGACACTGATCCCAGAGATGCTGTGGATGCGCCAGGGTCCCTTGGGGAATCCCACTGAGCTCCCCTTCTCCCCCTCGCCAACCCATTCTCAACCTATCTTGTCTTCACCCTCTTTCCCTGTTCCTTTCCTTCCTTTCTCTCTTGTGCCAAACTGACAGAAACATCACCAAACTTGTCTTTTTCTTTAAAGTCTCATTCCCTTCCTGGCCGGCTGCTATGCTGGGTGGATGTCTCTGCCAGGCCCCTCAGGGTCCAGGCAGGGGCCAGCCCACCCGTGAGAACCCCACCCACCAGCACACCTCCCCATCCCACTGACCTCTGCTGCTGCTAATAGGGCTGAGCCTGGCCATCTGAGCATGCCCCAGGGTGAAGTGGCCCTCTTACCCTCTCCCTGTCTTGCTGTGTCATGGGCCCAGGCTGGAGTGGGCCCCTATCAGCAGACCAGGCTGATTGTGAGAGTATCCATCTGTCCCCTGAGATGCCATGGGCAGTTGGGATGGAGCGGTGCCCATCAGCTGGGTGTGCCCTCTCCCTCCTCCCCTCTCATGGGCTTTTTTGTTCTGTAACTGCAGCCTTAAAGCTCTCCACCACCGTGGACAGCATGGCGCTGCCTTCGCACATCCCCCTGCCTGCACTCTGCCCCATGGTTCTGCCCCATGGCTCTGCTGCTCCCTCCTCCCAAACCAGGGAACATAGCCCTTGAATTTCATCCCCTGTCTCCTTCCCTCTTTCTCTTCAACCTCCTCTCCACCACCTTCCCAAAAAATGGAAGGGAAAAAACAATACAAAACTGTGAATGGGGAATGCTGACTGACAAACCAACGCAGCTTTCAGAGGCTTCTATGTTTGTTCTCTGGACATTTCTTTTTTCCTCCTCTTAAACACCAAAGTCGCAGGCCAGCTTGCAGGCCACTGACCGCCATGTTGATTTTTAACTTGACGTTCTTTTTAATTGTTTTAAATTTTTCATAGGGGAGTTTTGGACAAAACAAAGTCACTGGGGAGATCACTGCCATTTGTACACACTCAACTTTTTAAAAATACAGCCAACCACACACTGACTTCTTATACATTTGGGACATGAGCCAGAGTTTAAAAGGGAACCAACTAAACTCAATAACATAAAGGATGGGATTTTGGATTTTGTACAATAAAAACAAAAAAACAAAAAACAATTCAGCATATGGCTAGGGAAGGACATGGTGTATATAATTGTAAAATACTGTTCTAAATTATTCAGGCCTATACTGTCCATTACTGGAGTCCTCCATTGTGTGGCCACACAGTGTGGTTTATTTAAAGGAGCCTACGCGTCCCCTCTCCCCGGGTAGTTGGTCAACTGTGGACTCTGTGACCTTTGTCTAAACCTGTGTTGTAAGATCTTGGAGCTCTCTCCCCACTCCCCCACTCCATGTCTGTCTCTCTCTTCTCTTCCCCTAGCACTTTCTTTTCTTAGTCTATTTTTCAACCTCTGAATCCTTCAGTCTCTCTCTGAGTCTCATTTTTAAAAATGCTCTTTTAGAACGCGAAACGGCTCAGATCCTGCTGTGGCATGGGGCCTGTGTGTCTCTGTCGCGTCTGCTGTGAAGCACATGATGCTCTATTTATTGTAGAAAGTGACTTTATTTGCTTTCTAGAATTGTTTATAACAGATGGTATAAGAGAGGTAATAAACAGAGAAAATCTATGCCTGTAAAGAATACAAAAGTTAATTTTACCTACTATAATATGACTGTCGGAAACTTATTTTCTCTCTGAGAAATAAATGTTCTAATGGGCAGCAATTGCTGTGTTTGATGTGGTCAGTGGGGGCCCCTCTTCCTAAGACCTACTCAGTTGCTCCTCAGAAGGCCAGAGCCCTTAAGAATGGGGGTTGTCTGGCTGTTGCAGGCCCCTGGCTGGAGAGAGCTCTGTCTCTTGAACCTTTGGGTAGGCATGAAGATGGGTGCTGACCTTGTTTCCCTCCCAGATAGTGCCACCTGGGAGCCACGGAAGGGCCAGCCCACCTTCCTATACCTCAGATTCTCTGTGGCCATGTTCCTGTAGGAGCTCTGCTCCTCTTCAGTGGGAGGAGTGGCCATCCGGACACCCACAGCACCTCAAGAGTTTTAAGACGCTCTCTCCTTTTGCCATTATTGCTGGTCTGTTCTATAGATGGGCAGCTGACCAGGCAGAGCCCAGCTCTTCTTAGATTTGGAAGGGATCCTTGAACCTGCCTTGCCCCCAATTCACAGAAACAAGGAACAAGGCCAGCAGGAGTGAAAGGCTTGACCAAGGTCCACGAGCTAAGGAATGGTGGCAGAGTCCTGGGAGGAGGATCTGGCCAGAGCGCCCCGTGGGCTCCACGGCATTTCAAGGTTGCAGTGGCCTCTTGTATTCCATGCTCCCCATTCTTGGTGGTTGTGGCCTCAGCCTTTCTGGAAAGGGCATTGAGAAGAACGGAAGCAGCAGGAGGATTCCCAGGAACAAACTGCTTGGTTGTTGGGCCTCAAATAGCTTTTCCCATCCCACCGCCTCTCTGGGCCTGCCCAGCTCCTGTGCCTGTCTAGTGTGGCAGAGGACATGGGTCTCCTGACTATCTTCTACCCAGGCCTGTGACATTCTTGATATTGAGGTTACTAATGTGTGAAAGTCAGTTCAGCTTAACACTAAAGAGGTTCCTCCTTTGTGCTGATGATCCTTGTGTTGCAAAGAGCCTGGGTCTCAAGGTTCTCACAACCTGATGATAAGACATCACAGAAATCTCTGAACGAGGCCAGTACCAGAGTCCCAGAAGCCTGGAGAAGTTTGGGAGACTTTTTTGGTTGGAGAATAATGAAACTTTCAGAAGAAATAAGCAATTCAAGCCTTGAAAAATTGTCAAAAAGTCCTTATTTATGAATTGAATTTTGAATTATGAAATAGTGTAATGAAATTATGAAGCCTATAAAATATTTTAGAAATAAGGAAAAATGGCCAAGTGGGTGGGATTTAATAGGCACACCTGAAGATAGATGAAGCAACTTGTCCTGGCTAAGGAAGGAATTGTGCATATACTGACTAGTGACCGACTAAAACCCCTTTTGACTGGAAGCCAATAAGGTGGTGAGGCAGTGCATCAGGCTTAAAAACCCTGTCACTCACTGGCTGTGTGACCTCAAGCATGACAGTCAACATCTCTGAGCCTCTCTGAGACTGGTGTAGTGGAGGACCCCCAGGGCAAGGCATCAGTACACAGAAAGTGGCAGCATCCACTAAGGACTTGAACAGGGAAGAGATGATCAGAAAGGAAAAGAAACAGGTGTTTGAGACAGGGTTGCTGGTTAACTGTGGGGATCAGGGAGCCTGGGAAGTTGGAGGGTGCATTTTGCTGCCTATGGAGCTTCTGAGAAAAACCTCTAGTATGCAAGTGGGAGTTGGACCCGGAGTTCAAGAAAAGGAATAGATGACGAGGAGGTGGGCAGTTAGCAGAACGGCCAAGGAAAGAGGAGGTGACAAAAGACTTGAGGAAAGTCCCATGTGTATATAGAAGGCAGGGAGAGGATGGAGACAGCACCCTCAGAGGGCCTTGGTCCCCAGGGGTCCCTGTGGAGAATTGGCAAGCCCTAGGGATCATCCCACAGGTGGGGATGGGGGGAAGACAGCCAGGTGTGCTCAGCATCACAAGGCAAGAAAAGGCGGTGCCGGAGCAGAGCCCAGAACCCAGCACCACCTACTCCGCAGACCCACCCCTCAGAGCCTTCCAGGGGAACAAACATGTCCTTAGTAAGTTCTGTTCATGGTGTGATTGGACTTCATGGACTCAAGTCTAACACGGTGTTTAAACCTTGGAGCATGCAGCAGGGGAGGTCTGACTTGGAACAGAGAATCCTGTTTTCCTAAGAAGTTTAAAAACACCATGAAGCCGGGCGTGATGGTGCACACCTACACCTGTAACCCCAGCGACTTGGGCTGCTGGGGCAGGAGGACTGCAAGTTCAAGGCCAGCCTCAGCAACTTAGCGAGACCCTGAGCACCCTGTCTCAAAAAATAAAAAGGACTGGGGAATGTAGCTCAGTGGTAAAACTCCCTGGGTTCAATCCCTGGTACAGAAAAAAATCAAAAAATTAAAATATCACTAAAAGCATTTGCCAAAAAACCATGGTGGGGGTCGGGGGCTGAGATTGTGGCTCAGTGGTGGAGCACTTGTCTAGCATGTGTGAGGCCCTGGGTTTGATTCTCAGCACCACATATAAAAAAATAAAGTTCTATTGACAACGAAAAAAAATATTAAAAGAAAAAAACAACAACAAACATGGTTGGCTTGGCCACTTCCGTTACTGTTGGCCTTACCACTTGAGCGTGAGTTTGCCTCTCAGAAGGGCTTGCCTGACCTGGCTTGGCTCAGCCTTGACTGCCGGGCTATGCAAGAGGGTGCTGAGGGGGACATGGACAGTGAGGCCTTCATGAGCCCCGGGGCTGCAGGCCTCCATCAATGCCTGTGGACAAGCATCAATCATGCGCATCTCTGGTCCTGCCAACTGCAGCCAATCTGGCCTTTACCGGAGTCAAGAGCAGGGAATAGTTTCTTTAAAACAAGGGGTAGAAGTTTCTAAATGACTGCAGGGGCCAGGGAGGTGTGTGTGTGCTGGGCCAGAGCAACAGGGAACTGGCTCCATCTTGGCACTTGGGGTGTCCTGTTTGCCCTTCCCCTTCAAGGGCCTCAGCTGGTAATTGGAGTGGACAGGAAAAGAAAAAAAAAGAAAGTGCTAAGGAGAAAATAAGAACTATCCTCAGCAATAACCATTTTAACATGATTCCTGAGAGTCTCTTGTTTTCTCTAGGTGAGCATGTGTTTTAGTTTCTTGTACTTGGTGGCTGAGAAATCATCGGCCCCGTTCTCCGTATGACTAGGATGCGAGCCTCCCAGCCTCCTCTGCCCACAAACGCCTCCTCCTCACTGGCCTTCTACTAAAACTATACACCCCAGACACTGCCTGTCATTGTTTTCCTTCATTTTGTTAAAATACCGGAAGTCTCCATGGCATTGGAAATCAGACGGGTGCAACACATCTCTGTCCCAACAACTTTGTACATTTCCATGGGAATAAGTCCTAGACCAAATTATGCCCCATTTCCAAAAGTCCATGAACAAGGAGGCATCACAAGACCACATCATCCTCTGATTCAAGAAACTCTCAATCTGCCCTTTAGTACAGCCACCAGCATCAAGAATGGAAGGTCATTCTCAGGTGGACACGATGCTCTTCCGAGGGCAAGACCTGGGGCTTGAGTGGGTGGGTTGGGAGCAGGAGCAACTGAGCTCTAAACTTTGAATCTTTTTTTAGATGTAACTTTACCTTGAGTCCCATGAATTTGCACATGTGCAGGTCAAAATGCAGAATATTTCCAGGGCCCCAGAAGTTTCCTCATGGCCCTTCCCAGTCAGTACCCCTGCTCCAAAGGTGACCGCCTATTCTTGAACTTGGTGTAAATGGCATCACACAGAAAGCGCTGCTTGTGTCTAGCTTCTTCCATTCAGCATCATGTTTCTGAGCTCTCTCCTGTTTGGCCTGTAGCTATAGTTTGTTTTTTGCTATTTCTGAGCAGCATTTCATTGTTCAGACACCCTGCAGTCTGTCTGTGTGTTCTCCTGCTGACGGACACTGGGGTTTCCATTTGGGGGCTGTTAGGCCGGCACTGCTAGGAACGTTCTTGTATGTGTCTTTGGTGGACATAAGCACTTGTTTCCCCAGGAGTGGCATCGCCTAGCGGTGGGGCAGATTCATGTTTAGCGTTAGTCCATTCTGCCGGATTTCCATTGGTTGTTCGTTTTACACTCCCCAGTGACACAGGTCCGCAGCAGAGGCACAAGTCCAGGTGTTCCCCATCCATGTCATACACGGCTCCTCGCCCAGGGCATTTGCTCTGGATCTGGTTGTTGAATGGTTTCCACTGAGCTCCAGCAGGCAGCCATTCTTCTTCCTTTACAGTGCTACCCTGCTCCAGGGTGTTTTCAACTGGGGAACCCCCAACTGAAGGGACTGGTGGGGAGGGAAGCTGAGCGGGTGCAGTCTGCAGACGCATGTGCCCACCCGACTGTGCTGCCCTCTACCCTTGGCACCCACCTTGCACCATGGCATCTCTGCACTGGCTCGTTGCAAAGTGAGTCATGCTGAACGGTCCCTGGCTCAGAGTATACAGCCCTTCCCTGGCTCTCCTCCTCACCCCTGCCCACGGGGCTCCAAAGGACACCAGCCTCCAGCACTTCAGTCTACCCCCAGCACATCGTGTCCAAATCCTTCCTTGCCCACAGGCTGATGTCCCCAGTTCCACCATTAGCACTCCGTGCTTTTACCTCTCGAGGCCATGACCCACTGGCTCGACCCCGGTCAGAGTGGGTCCATTTCCCTTTAAAGGGTTGGTGACCTGGATGAACAAAGGCAACCGGAGCAGGTCTGCATGAGGCCATTGACAAGGACACTCAGACCTTGAGGGAGGATTAAAAGGAGAGGAGAAGGGCCCATGTGTCCTTGGCTGACCGTGTTCAGAATCAAGCAGGAGAAGGCGCAGAAGTCTCTGAAGTGACTTCAAAGGACTCACTCAGATCTCTGGTGGGGTGAAGGTCATTGGAGATAAGAATGCAGGTCAGGGGAAGAGACTGGGCAGCCTCATGAGGGAGTCAAGCTCTGGACACACAGGACTGTGGATCCAGGGTTGACTTGAGCAACGCTCTGAAGCTGGCCTTGTCCTCAGGCTCAAGAGTATCATCTAGGACTGGGGGCAGGGGTGGGTCCTCAGAGGCGGGTGAGGCCACAGGCTTTCCT